TTTATATTATATTACATCATATTATGAGATATACTATCAAAAAAAGCCAGATGCGCGCTTTCCGCTTCACCTCCTGCCTATTGGTTCACTGCGATGAGCCACGGCAACAACCTGAGCGGTGATTGGCTCCTGTAACGCACTCCGGCGTTCTGATTGGACGGGCGACGCTCACCGGGGACCGGTCGCTCCCATTGGTCGCCTTCGGAGCAGCGGGGCCTGTCGCTGATTGGCTGAGCGCGCGGGGGCTGTGGAGTCCGGCAAAGTGTGGAAGTGAAGAGGAGGAGGAAGTAGTTTTCAAAAAAAGATGGAAATGCAGAGAAGGAGAGTTTGAGTTGAGAGCCGGAGCAGGTGAGTGTTCTGTTTCCTGTTCCCTCTGCGGGGGGTGGACGCTTCCTTGTTTCCGGACAGAACGGACGCCACTTGTTAATCCTCGTCTGAAGAGCGGCTCCGTGAGGAAGCTGCCTCTGTCTGTTGTCAGTCGGTTCATGAGCAGACATGAGACACCTCCACAGACGAGACGTGTCGGTGTGTGAGCAGCCCCCGGGTCCGTCCCGCAGCAGGGCGCTTGTGTTGCACTTGACTTCGCTGCGCTTCATTCTCACTCACGCGAGGTGAAAATGGCCGAAGCGGCCGGAGTGTTAGGTGTCGACGCAGCGTCGGTTGTGTTCGGTGACATTCTCACAAACTACCGACAGTTGTTGTCTGTCAGTACCTCACACTTCGCATCAAAGAGCTCAGCGGGTAACGAGCTTTACTCGATGACGTCACGGAAGCTGGTAGTGGTCAAGAGAAGCAGAGCGGAGCAGCACTTCCGGTTACAAAATGAAAGCCCTGGCGATCGATGAGGTTGATGGGACATTGTTTTTGTGCGGTGACAGAGAACCGGAAGTCAAACGGTAGCTGTATCCCGCTGTCTGCCCACTGCTTAATAACATAAGGTAGATTTAAGGATAAGATAAGACTAAGATAAAGTAAGGAAAACATAAAGTTAAGATAAAGATAAGGTAGGACAAAGATCAAATAAGGATACAATAAAGATAAGATAAGTAAAGGAGAAGATAAGATAAAGATCAAATAAGATTAGGATCTTATAAAGATCAGATGATCAGGCAAGTGTAAGTCCTCCATAGAATAAAAAAATAGGCAAGACAATTCAAACTAAATGTAAAAGATATGGAGATGTGTACATAAAATACAAGTTGTACTACAGAGAGAATATTATGCAGAGAGAGTAGTAGAACAGCACGATTGCACAGGAAACATTATTATTATTATAGCACAGATATTCACCTGATATGAAAACATGTGCATGCCCACGACATGCTGCTGTAACACAATCATTTCCCAAGTTGGGATCAATCAAGTACATCTATCTGTCTATAGACTGATATTAATATATACGCACAAGACAGGTATTGAATACAACATTATAAGAATGTAAAAGCCTCAAAGCGCTTGGTGCTCCCCTTTGTGTCATCAGCCATCAGACTGCACAACTCTACAGCACCCACAGTCAAACACTAAAATAAGGCACCAGATTTCATGGGTTCTTCCCTGACCCCGTTATTTTGCCATATTTTGTGAGTAATTCCTCTTATGACTTCTCACCCTGTATTATCTCAGCCATGCCCGCACAGCCCCCTGTGAGGGAGCCCGAGGAGGAGATGGAGGCAGAAGGAGAGTCACAGCTCCCTGAAGCCAACGGAGAGGTGGAGGAACCAAGAGAAAACGAAGGGAGAGGAGGTGGAGATGAAACCATGGAGGAGAGCACAGAAGAGAGGGAGAGTGACCTGGAAGAGAGTGAGGAAGAGGAGGAGGAGGAAGAAGAGGAGAGTTCAGGTAAAAAACAAAAGTGCCCTGCTAAATGTTTCCCGAGTGACAGAAGTAGAGAGTTTTTCATTGTTTTTGTCTCTGTCTCTCTGTCCCTGTGAAGAGATGGACGACGAAGACTGCGAGCGGAGGAGGGGTGAATGTCTCGATGAGATGTATGATCTCGAAAAACAATTTCAGGAGCTGAAAGAGAAGTAAGTAGAGTCGGAGAGGGGGGTGGACAGACTCCACAGATGTTTGGTGGAGGACAGAAGAAGAAAACAAAGGAGACTGACGTCACTGTGTGATTGCAGGTTGTTTCGGGAGCGACTGAACCAGGTGAAAGTGAAGCTGGACGAGGTGTTGACAGGGAAGGCTGGAGAATACAGAGAACCACTGGCTGCACTGCAGAACAGCATGCAGATACGAACACAGGTGGCCGGTACGTGGTACATGTTCCTTTTCTTAAAAAGACTACAACATCCTCCTGTCAGATCCAGAACTCTGATAGCTCGTCACTGAACACATCATCGAGGAGGGCAGCAACAACCTTCTCTATGAATTAAAGATACGAGCCTTTCACAGATATATTGGTATCATTGTTTGAAAACTTTTCTTTGTGGAATAAACAATGCAGAAAAATTGTGCACTTTGTAAAATATATGTTTCATTCCTTAATTCCAGTTCTCTAAGTTTGCATTTTGTGTTTATTTATTTGTACTTTTCTATAGAAGAAAATATTTCAGGAATCATTGCCGATGTTTTCAATATGCTTATCATATTATATTGTAAGCTGAAATTTTTCCACATCTTAATATCTTTATCCAAGCATCCATATTGGTCAGGCTCTATTATTTATGACATGCCCAAAAACGTAACCTATTAAAAAAAGACTTCATGTCATTATGTAAATGTAAAAATTGAAATGTAGAACGTGCTGTGAAGTCCACAATGATAACTAGTTGAAATGAAGTGAGAAAAGACTGACATCACTACCATGCCTTTATCAAGACATAAACAAATCCAGATCAGAGGTTTCATTTGCTGTTTGTGTGTCTGACTCAGTTCTACTTGATAGTATAGTAACACATCACTACAGCTCACCGGCTGATCCCAACACATTAAGTGGCCGTAAACAAGGATGATGTCACAAAACAATAGGGTTGTATGAGGCAAAGCTCTGTGTGCAGGTGAGTTTAATTCAGTAGGTGCACACTTAGCATTTAAGCGTTGGTCTTAATCGTCTCTTTTGACAGTTTCGGTCTTCCAGAAAAGTGAAATAACCAAATCTAAAAGAATAACAACTGCAACTTGTTTCTGTCTTCAACAACCTTTCTCTCTCTCTCTCTCTCTCTCTCTCTCTCTGTATGTTCAGGAGTGTACAGAGAGTTGTGTCTGCAGGTGATCAAACACAAGCACGAGTGTGAAGTGCAAGGAGCAAGGCAGCACCTGGAGGTAACGGACCACACACATGCAGTACTAACACAGGGCACTGGATACTGCACCGCGACACAAGCTGAACTATTACTAAACTAAACTGTGCGTGTACGCGTGCACACTTACAGAGTGAGAGGACGCTGCTGTTTGATGCCATGAAGACAGAGCTGCTGGAAAAGATCCGGAGACTGGAGGAGGACAGACAGAATATAGACCTCACCTCGGGTACATACACTCTTTTCACTGTAACATTTTACTTCCTGTCTGTGTCCCTTTAGTCCACTGCCAGAAGAGACACAGCTTCATATGAATGTCATGTAATGAATGTGATCTGATCTTGTCTCAGAGTGGAGCGATGATGTTGGGGGAAAGAAGTGTAAAAGAAAGAATCTGCTGGGTCGCATGGAGAGAAAAAAGAAAGTGGCTCTGGTTTCAGGTAAAAAAAAAATAAAGATCCTACTCTTCACATTTCTATTAATCCCACCATCTTCATATTTTTCCAGCTGTTGCTCTCTGAACTGCATATTTGAAATGTGCTGTTCGAATTTACTACAAAATGAAATGACTGCTTTGTTAAATGGAAAACTCCTCGTCCATCTCACAGGACCTTTCATCGTCTACATGTTGAGAGACATCGACATCCTCGAAGACTGGACCGCTATAAAGAAGGTGATTTATTCTTTCCGTGTTTGACTTTTCATTCTTAATTTCTGCAGTTATTTTTATCCAGATGTTTCCGTAACTCTGTGTGTTTTTTAGGCAAAAGCAGCACTGTTGCCGCTAAAAAAGAAACCTGAAAGTAAGTCTGCCTCATTCCCACAGCACACGTTATAACCACACCACGCTGTGAGGGTTCAGTCTCTAACGCGTCATCAGTTTGTCTTTCAGAGCGGTGATGACACGAGGGTCCCAGTGGCAAAGAAAGCAAACTGAACACTCGCACACACACATTCCCAGCTTCTTCCACTAACAGTCCCAGTTTCGTGCCCTCGACTGAAGCCCGGCAGACTGTCGCTACTCCTTTCTCCTTCGACCCCAACAAACATCTCTCCCACTGCTCTTTTGTTATCTATTGCTATTTAAAATAACTTCTTAATGATATGACCACCATGTATTTATAGAATGATTTATAATGATGATTAAAATTGTAATGCTTTGTGACACAACTTGTCTCGCTTCTGCATCTCTCTGTGGTGTGTGTCTATATTTAATTATGAAGCATTATGGTCATGGTTTGGAGGAAAATAAGAACATCTAAATATTTTAAGAATAAAGTCATAATGAAATTAGCAAGAGGTTGTAATTTTGAGATTTCTTTCAAGGAAATACTTAAAACTTACTTAAATACACTAAACCTAACAAAAGGTAACAAAACTGATCACTTCAATTAAATACAACAGTAACGCACAAGGTACCAAACTAAGCAACAACAACACAAAATGCAGCACACAACCGAAAGCTCACACACACATACATACACTACACACAATGTAAAGTCATCACTACTGCCACACTCAGGTTCACCTTTGAAAATGAATGAGGCAACAACATTTCACTGGATGGCTACATAAAGAAATACAGAATGAACCCAGCATCCAGTCAAATGCATGACTCAACAACGACTAAGACCACAAGAGATACACATATAATCACACTTACTTCCCCCATGTGGACGTTCATCCCAGATGAGCCCCCAGTTGTTACGTCCCAGCACTGTGGGGACAAACACCACTCCACCACTGACCCAGGTCAACGGCAGGAAACCTTGAAAACAACAAGAACAATGGGATTTATTAACTTAAAGAATAAGACCCAAAGTAGCCATGTAGACTGAATTCATATTTACCCCATGCATCGTTTCCACTCATGATTGTTAGAACGTGTAGAACATTTGTATTATTGTCAGACAGGACAGCTAGGCCTTTATATTGTGTTTATGTTCTCCGATGCTTCTTATTAAAGCAGCTATTATCAATACTTTCATCAATTTCATTATCATCATCAATGAAATGATAAATTTTACATGAATTAAGGATCCAAGCTGCACCAAATGTTTTGTTTTTACAATATGTCACATTTTGTGGGATTGAAAATCACGAAACTTATCAAACACATCGGAAATGAGAGCGCTTATAGAGATGAGGTAAGGGGCTTGGTAACATGGTGCCAAGACAACAACCTGTCTCTCAACGTCTGCAAGACCAAGGAGATGATCGTGGACTTCAGGAAGCTGCAGAGGGGGGGTCACGATCCCATACACATCGAGGGAGCTGTAGTGGAGAGAGTCTCCGACTTCAAATTCCTCRGTGTGTWCATCAAGGATGACCTTACCTGGTCCAGACAAGYGGAYTYKGCGGTCAAAACHTCCCAAAAACGCCTGTACTTCCTGAGGAGACTCAAGAAGTTTGGCATGTCTGCCAAAACTTTAACAAACTTTTACAGATGCACCATTGAGAGCATCCTCTCAGGCTGCATTACTGCCTGGTATGGTAGCTGCTCCGCTGCTGATCGTAAGGCCCTGCAGAGGGTGGTGAAGACAGCGGAGCGTATCATCGGCTGCCATCTCCCTTCCGTGCAAGGCATCTACAACACAAGATGCCTGAGAAAAGCACGGAACATCATAAAGGACCACAGCCACCCAGGCTATGGAATCCTCACACTGCTGCCGTCTGGAAGACGTTACCGGAGCATCCGAGCACGGACTACCAGACTCACAAACAGCTTTTTCCCCCAGGCCGTAAGGCTTCTGAACCAGCAACACTAACCCACTGAACAGTCGCATCACCATGTACATTCTGCTCCCTCATTCATACAACTTGACTTACTACACATATATTATTTAATTTAATACTTAATTTAATATCCCGCACTCCTTCACCCTGTAAACTGCTGCTAGCCCCTCATTTAAATTCAAATTTAAACTGTTGTACTATGTCATATGTTAAAAGTTATATGTTGTTACTATGTTGTATGTTAAATGTTAAATGTTATGTTAAATGTTATATGTCACTAGGTTATATGTTAAATGTTATGTTAAATGTTATTTACTAGGTTAATGTTAAATGTTATGTTAAATGTGTTATGTTAAATGTGTTATGTTAAATGTGTTATGTTAAATGTTATATGTTACTATGTTATATGTCATATGTTATTATATATATTTTCTTTTTATTTTTTATTTTGTATTTTTATTCCCGTCTACTGCGTAGATGTTGCCTGCCATGTCACAAGAATTTCACTGCTCTGATGACGCTAAGTTATTTGGTGCATGTGACAATAAACTTTGATTTGGATTTTTGATTTGGATTTGGAAATGACAAACATTTACCTCCAATACGGGTTTTCATATCTACGTGTGGTTAAATGGCCCGATGGCTCACGTATCAGTATCACCAGCTGTTTTTCTCAGCACATTGTTCTGGTTCCTCATAATTTAAAATCTGCCATGTTGTGGTTTCTTGTAACTTATTTGCATGATTGTTTATCACTATAACAAATGTGTTAAATCAATTTCCCTTAGAAAACATGAAACCTGTTGTTTCCATACATGTTTACACACGTGTCACCAGTCTTAATCAGTGGAATACAGTGACAATGCAAAAAAACACATGACTCCATAGCACCATCAGTCTTGTGTTCACTTGTCTCTGCTGCAGCCAAGTGGATAAAAATGGATATTAGTATAAGAAGCAACATCAAGAGACACAACTACAGATTCAACAAATGGATGACATCAGCAGTTCACACACCAAACAGTCGCTGTCATGTTTTGTGTTCCTCGCAGACCCACAGGCAGGTGTGTGGGATTTAAAAAAGCAGGTAAACCAGCAAACTAAAAGTCAACTAAAGGAAACAAACCTGCAGAACTGGAGCACGAGGTAAATCCAGGTTGATGGACAAACGGACGGAGAAGAGTGAGCAGTACTGACACAGCACACAGGTGGCTCACAGACAGCAGGTGCAGACAATCACAGGATTAGGAAGCAAAGGACAAGCACAAGGCAAAAAAAGAACCAACACACACAAAACCTGGAGTCCGAAGACAAGATCCAGAAAAGGATTCACATGGATGAATCAAAAATCACTGAAAAGGTCCAAATACTAAAGATAAAAATAAATAAATGTGACATTTAAAGAAGATGTGTTGCCCACTTCAAAAAACAAATGAACAATTAAGATAACGAGGATGTTTCACCAGTGTGTGTGTGTGTGTGTGTGTGTGTGACTCAGCATGTGCCACTAGAGATAGGATCAGTTTTCGTTCTCACTCAACAATCTCATATCTGCCTGTTTGTTTACTCACCTCTGGAGAAATCTGCGGTAACGTATACATACATATGAAACAGCCCAAGTTAAGTCAAGACTTTCTCTCTGTGCCACTCATCCACAAACTCTCACTCTCTCGCCCCTTCTGCTGCCCACACACATATCAGTAAGAAACAGAATGAGACATAAGGAAAGAAAAATGTGTTTGGAATTTTTTATTTGACACGAAAAAGAAGAGGAGAGGGATGAAACTCAAGTGTGTGCAACGTAACAGCAAAAATCATAAAATAACTGTAAATGTCTATAAAGCTATAAAGTGCTGTTTTCTTCTTCTCTCAACCCGACAAACCAAACATGCTGTTTTAATTAAGTTATGATTTCCTGTTTGTTCAGAAAAATAATTCAGGATCTGTTGATAATGACAGCAAATCTTCAAGTGGCCATTTTAAACTGGTGTTGGGTCTAAAACATTTTATTCTTTTGCTTTCTCTTGACTCTCTAAACCATCACTCCACATTTTTGACCAGGATTACACAAAAACTATACTAATTGGTTTCCATGAAATTTTTTGGAGGAGTGGAAATGACCCAATAAAGAAGAATGCTTTGCTTTAACATTGTGATATGGGACATTTTTCAATATTTTAATTAAATATTGAATATTTCATAGATTTTGTTGTAAAAAAAATCAAACATGTTTAGGGGACTGATATTTATTTTGCTGCACATAAAAATCTAGTGAATTGAAATGTGATTTCATATAAGGTTTGCTTTCCACTGAGCAGCATTCTGTCTGTACTCCTCCTCCCAAACCTATTCCTCTTCTTTCTTGAGAAATTCTCTTCTTTCTTTCCTCATCCCTTCTTTTTCCTGGGTGCTAAACAAAAAGGATTTCAGCGGGGAGCCTGCATACTAAGTTCATGACATGTAGGATGCTGCTCCCCTCTCTCACACCACCTTCTCCTCCTCCTCCTCTTCTTCGTCTCCTCACAGCTGCTTGCTGAGCTTGCGCGCCTGCCTCTCCCTGGCCTCGAAGGCGGCCTTGGTGTCCAGCAGCTCGTCCAGCTGCCGGCGGATGTGCGCCATGTCGAGCTGCGTGGCCTCGCACTGCTCCCTCAGGGACGCCGACTCCACCCTCAGCTGCGTGGCGGCCATGGAGAGCTGATCGCTGCGCTCACGGCACTGCAGTTGCATCCTCTTGGCGTCGGTGAGGAGGGACTCCACGCTCACGGCCACAGACTCGCACTGATCACGAGACATGTTCTGGAGGGAGATGGACAGAGGTCAGCTTTGGACGTGGACAGGTTAAGGACATTCAAGGAGACAGATACTTAATAGACAGACTTGTGTAAATGTCAAGTTGAAGGCCTGTCTGTGATTACAATGTGAGATTCAAGGACTCTGCTCTGTTCTCCATAGTTTTTGTCTGATTTGGCAGTAAAGCCGAGCTCTCCTGCCAAAAAAGCAGATAAAGTGAATCAATATGTCACAGTGACGAGCCCCAGCTCAGATCAACAGGTTTACAACAGAACATTTGATGTGTGGAGAGTGAAGTAGCTCAAAGAGGCTTATCACAGCTAAGCTCAGTCTCCACTGTCCACTGCTCTTCTCTCTTTCGCTCCTCTCCCACCAGCACTCAATCTCTGATGCATGTTTTTCCACACTCCTCCTTTTCCTTCTGTCATTCATGCGTTCTTACATCCACACATCTTAAATGTAATAAGAGAGATGAAAAGGTCTCACCATAGACTCCAGAGTCAGATTTATCACGAGCCTTGAGGGGGTTCCCTTCTCCGACTCGAGATTCAAAGAGTCCTCAGCGTTCTCCAGAGTTCTCTCTCCTGTTGTTGTCGTCCTTTACGGATTTTCTCTTTATATAAATATATGAACTCTACTTTCTGTACAGATCAGTGAAGACTTTTCTGTATTCGTCTCCTGGTGTGTCTCTCCTTTCTTTCTCTCCTCAGTGAACATTATCTTCCACCTCGGGACTCTGGGCACGTCAGGTAATCCTCGGAGATTACGCAGTTAAGGGGAAAGACAGAAGGAGTCCTGCTGGAATAGCAGGAGTCAGCTCATCCCGTCTATTTTGATCTGTCTGGCAACTGCTGTGAATGAATGCAGCTGCATTTAGACGCAACATCCCTACAGTCTCTGCGGCCATCACACGATTCAGAGGTGTTCGGTTTAAAAAAGAACAGATTTTAAGACAGAAATGTCTACTGCGTCCAGTTCGTACTCTGTTCTGCAAAGTAAAGAGTTTCCAAACTACAATTATACCAAGTTCTTAGGTTCTTAAGAAGTTAAAAAGGCAGAAAATATGTAACGAGAAGTCACAGTGACCTTGACCTTTAACCTCCAAAAATGTAATCAGCTTAAGTCAAACTGAACATTTGTACCGTGTTCACATGTATGTGACGGACAGACAGACAGACAGACAGACAGACAGACAGACAGACAGATGGACAACTTGAACACATAATGTCTCTGGCCACTGGTTGTCACAGGCATGGAGGCATAAAAATGGCATCAAGATTAAAAAATGGAAAGTATGAAATAGTAAATCGTAATTATGAGAAAGTGGAAGTCTTTACTCATCATCGACCACCAGAGGGAGTCACAGCTTAACATAGCAGATCCCGTGCCTCCATTCGCTCTGTCACTAGACTGAGTTAAACAAAACCTTAAACAGCAGCAATAAATAAATAGATAAAAGAAGAAGTTTACGTCATTGTGTTTAGACTCTTTGGTTTATTTTAGCACATGAGTGTCGTAGCATCACTACAGACAGCCAAATATTTGATTTCCGGACCAAACAGCCCTGAAGTGCATTCACTCTGCAACACGTGATCAAAAACAATATCTGATATAAGTAAGACTCCGAGTGAAACTAGAGTACATGGTCGAAGAAAATAGGGCCACGACAGATGCATGAATAGTGGTTTAGCTCACAGCTAACAAGGAAGTAACTGAGAGCAAATTAAAAAGAAGGGACAATAATGTCATAAATAAACATTATTAAAACTGGGAGGTACTGGGTGGGAGGGCGGTTTAAAAAAGTCAATTTTAATTTAATGAGAAATGTTTAAAGACGGAAACATCTGCAAATCACAACTGAAGTACAAAATCTGAGCACACTGGTGAAATATAACATGAATGCCTGTGGTGAACACGTCCTGTTCCTTGGTTGTGTTAACAAACCAAATGCAGGACTCCACATTTCTGTGTGATCCAGGACTCGGATGTTGAAAAAGGCTTCGAGGTAAATGCACATATCAGCAGTTCAATCTTTGGACTTCTGCTTCACACACACACCCTGAGGGGAATCACAAACGGCTTCATGTAAACCTGCCAAACAGGACGAGGTGGCCGAGTGGTTAAGGCGATGGACTGCTAATCCATTGTGCTCTGCACGCGTGGGTTCGAATCCCATCCTCGTCGATAAATGATTCTATTGTTGTTGACACAACCTCAATCAGCCAAATTAACTCACATTTGATCACAAGCATCTAAAAAAAAACAGTGTATTAACCCTATTTCCACATGTCGCTGCTGTTAGCGTGTGTGTTCTACTCTGTGACGCACGTCCTCACTGTGGCTGCGGGGGGCGGTTGAAAAAGGGCTCGGTCTCCGCAGCAGTCACCCCTGGGTCGCTAAAGAGCCCACCGGACGGCCCGCCGAAACCCCCCACGATCATCTTCGCCCCGGAAATCTGGCGCCGCTGAATGATGACCAGGACCCCGATGATGAGCCAGAAGAAGAAGTTGACCCACACCGCTGTCTGATAGGGACGTCAAGACGACACATGAAATACCTTATTGTACTTGCTTTGAATCAAAGTGCAAAGGTTTATGAGGACTAGTCAAGAGGATAAAGACATAAAATAAAAAGCAGTGGAAGAAATACTGACCTCAGCTTTGTACAGACTGCTGTAGAACCTTCCTGCTCTCAGAGGACTCGCCCAGGTTCTAGTCTGGGCCTCCTCACAACTTGACAGACAGAAACAGATCGCGTGTTAGAAAGTCGATGGATAGTGTCTGATATTATTCACAGAAACATCAGAATCTATGTTTCAGTTTGCAGATGAGAGCTGATATGAAAACATATTTCACAGAACAGACGACAGACAAAGATGTGTATTTATATTCTATATATTTGGTTGTACTTGACATTTATATTGAAGTTTATGGTTAAAATGTAAACTTTGTCATAAAAGTTATATGATAGTGACATATATTTTTAATACATGTATTGGTCGATGTACATCTGAATTTATTTACTCTCGCATATCGATATTGGCGTCGGCCCCCAAAAGACAGGCAGGTCGGTTAATGACCGAGTCAGACAGAATCAGGAAGTAAAACTCTGCGGGTTTTAAATGGTTTAGTTTCATTTGTGATTTGTTTGTGAGACGTCTAGGTCATGTGGACGTGTCTGTGCATGCATGTCTTTTTAGTTGCAATATCCTTTGTGTGTGTGTGTGTGTGTGTGTGTGTGTGTGTGTGTGTGTGTGTGTGTGTGTGCGTGCGTGCGTCACCTGGTAATGTTGGGAACGGCGTGTAGCACAGAGTTGCACAGCGAGTCACGTCCGATCTTCAGAATGCAGCCTGTGATGAGCAGGAAGAAGAGGAAGATGCCACACACAGCCACAATCAGGTTCATCCACATTCGCTCCCTGTGGAGAGGAGGAGAAACAAGAGCGTGAGAGCGACTGTGAGCCTTTTTCACACAAGGGGAAAGAAAAACACAGGAATAAAAAGTTGATTCACCTTCTGACCAGATGAGGAAATTAGGTCAAAAGACTATGTCACCATGACTACAGTAAACTCTGCTTTGATCGTTGTATTTTCTATTCCATGTTTTGTTACCTCTTCATCAATTCTGTAAGTTAATCTCTATGAAACCATTAAACTCACTTGTCCTAATAAGGTTTATTCGTCTGGGTTTGATGCTGTTTCATGTTAAAACAAAAATACACTTCACAAATAAAATAAAATTGTGACCTGACATCATGTCGACATGAGTCTTAATCACATTCTAACATCCTGCCGGAGTTCTCATTTTGCAACATCGACATATATGGCAGTTAAAAATAACTTATGAGCCACATTATGATCAGATCATGCTCTGTAACATGGAAACAGAAATGTTGATGGGATATTTTATTAGCAACTCATGTAAACATCATAATCTAACTTTCCTTATTCATGTTCATGTCCATTGTATTTTTCTAGGATTGTGTAATTTGCAGTAATTCAACTGTTCATGTAGCAGAAAATTAAATAAGTGATCATAACACTGGCCTATGTCAAAGGTTTGAAATGTTCTGCTTACTAAACTATACTTATGTATATTGGTGTAGAAAATACCCATTGGAGTATTGGTGTAGTACCTTAGCGTGGCTGTATTTTTGTTCTCTAACCAGACTGTGTTTACAGCCCGTTTGATTTCCGATTATGAAAAATATTCACCTTCTGAATTCCCCGTCGATGCAGAGAGTGTACACCCAGTACAGAGACAGCGAGAAGCACACAACTGCCACCATGACTGAGATGGCCGACACAAAATAACACAGAGACGGGGAGCTGGATGACTGGATTCCAATGAGCCCTGCTGTTGCATTGTAGTTGACGAGTCCATACAGCATGCACAGACCTCCGAAATTACCCTGTGAGAAAAGACAAGATGGAGATATGTGAGATGTTTTAACTGTCTCTGTTTTGTTATTGTGTTTAAATAACAAGCCCTCCACCCCTACATTCACATCTAAAGCCCTAACCCTAATCTTTGCCTTGGCCTAAACATAATTCTATCCCAACATCAAGTCAAACAGCCCTTAAAAGCTGCGAGGACCAGCTACAAATGTCCCCACACTGTCAAAATGTCCTCATAATGATGGATTTTAACCAAAATTAGACCTCAAAACTATTGAAAGTACTTTGTATTGATGAGTGGATAAAAACGTACCTGATCCATGACCATTTCATGTTTAACCTGAAAGGGATACTTCACCATAAAATGAAAATTCACACATTATCTACTCACCACGTAAGTATTTGAGTCCACTAAACACTTTAGGAGGTTTCAGCCAAAGTAAATGGTGACCACTTCTTCTAAAGTCACTTCTGAAAGTGCAGAAGTGTTTTGTGGACTCAAACACTTCACCCACAGCTCCATCGACATATTGGTGAGTAGACAATGTGTGAACTGTCATTTTTGGGTGAACTATCCCCTTTAACTTTAACCTGACAACAGTTGACATCTTGACTCTAAACTTAAACAGGAGCTCAGAAATTAAGCTTTGACTCGTTAGGACCCAGCTCAGGTCCACTGGTCCTGACAGGGTCAATGTAAAGGTCCTGAAGACAGAAGACATCCAAACTACAGGATTCTTCTTGTGTGTCCCCATGAGGACAACTGATCAGTGTTTATACTGGAAAGGTCCTAAAGAGATCACACACACACACACACACACACACACACACACACACACACACACACACACACACACACACTCACACTAGTATCTCGAGTGAGGACACATGACTGTTGTTAACGCGCGCGCGCTCATCCAGCATTTACGCTCGGGGGCTTTTTTTCACGTGCTCGCGCGTTTCCTTATTAAGTTGAGGAGAGTTGTTTTTCTGCGCAAATAGCGTAAGATGAGCGCAACTCATGAGACAAGCAGTGACGATGACGAAAATGACGAAGATGATGATACCTAGGCAGAAAGTGAATGCGCGTGCAAGTCCACGCGCTCAGTTAATCCACGTAAAGAGCGTAAAACAGAGTCTATTAATCACTTTAATATCAGAAACACTGTGGAAACAAATGAATAAAAGTGATTCAAACTGACTAAAGTGTTTTTAAAAAGTGTCAAAAACAAACTTTTTCACTTGATGCACGCGCAGGACAAAACACACACAAAACAAACACACCGCACAGCGAGTCCACCCGGAAGAGGCAGGAGATCGAAGCAACGGATCGGACTAATTCCTGAAAAGTCACCTGGACGATGGTGGTGGAGGCGGCGGCCACGATCCCGCAAACGAAGCAGCTGGAGTAGAGAGCGAGCTCCAGCAGCAGCAGCCCCGTCAGCGCCATCATCCAGCTGCGTCCCGTGCGCACGCCCGGCGTCCGTCTGCTGGCACTCCGGAATCAAACCCGCCGTAACCACAACACAGGCTTCCGCTGCAGGGTTTCAAAATAGAACCACGTGTGACGCATTCTCAGAAAACGTTATACGATAGAAGATAGAGATCATACTTCTTACACCTTCATCAGTTATTTCATTCTCCATTTCTGCATTTACTCCCGATGCACTTTGTGATTTTATTTTTCACTTATTATGTTTTATTATTACATTGATATCCATTGCTTAATTCTATAAGTATTTCCTTCTGGATTAATAAAGTCTTATTTGATTTCCTAAAATGATCTCCCTCACACATTCTCATGTCCAATCCAGATGTTTCCATTGTGATCTAATAATATTCAACTTACCTGCCTCCTCTCCTCCTCTGATGCCGCGCTTTAATTTTGAAGGTAAATACACTTGATTTCCGGCGGTGGATCGGTTGTCTTTGTCTCTCTCGGTGTCTCTCGCTCTGAAGTGGACCTGCTTCAAGCTTCGCTCTCGTGCTTTAGTTTGCTGCTCTCCTCCAGCTCCAGTTGCTTTGGTTTCAGAAGAGGAACCACCATCTCCTCAGCTCTGCCAGACGTGCGTAAAAATCGTGGAAAAATGCGTGAAATCGGTCGGTTTTGTCACTGACAGGGTTGATAACAGGGGACACTGGGTGTCATACAAGACGATTTTCTTCGGGGCAGGAACTGGTTTCATCCCATAACCCAGAAAGTAGAAGCTGTGGGAAGCAGTGAGAAGAGAGGATGGAAGGATGGATGGATGAATAGATGACTGTAAGGGATGATGGATCACCTCTACACAGGTCCATCCAAAAGGCAAACTTCACATGAAGGCCTATATTAACACATTTATTTGTCCTCATATGGGGCCAACTGTTGATAGAACAGTATTAAATGTATAGTATAATATGCAGTGGACTATCATGTGGCTAGACTTATAGTCAAAGGTTGAGCTACTAGAGGATTTAAAGATATCCTTGAATTAGTGGTGGCTACTGTCTAAGACTGGTAGCTCCTACATTCCCAGAGAGCTTAATCAGACCTTGTGACTTATGTCATACGACCGTGCCACTTTCTGTGTGGCCCCCGTCGCCACTTCGAGGCTATTAAATTCACTTCTGCAACTGAAATACCAAACCCACAGAGTGTGCGACAGCATTTCAGTTTGACCAGGTTCTGCATTTATACAGGAACTGTTGTATTATTACAGTTTCCCTCAAGAGCTCATCAGTTATCTTATTATCTTCTGGAGAATCTGATGGTGTGCAGTCAATAGTAAGACTTAAGGTAAAAATATATATTGTATGGTGCATGAAACACCTCAAATTAATTACATTTCACAGACAAAGCACACACACAAATGCACAGATCTCAGATAAATAAAAGTAGGAGTATTCCGAGTAAAGGAACAAGAATTATTTATAGGGCAAAGTTAATATGAACAAATAGAGCTGTAGCTAAATTTTGCTTTGTAAAAGTATGAAAATCAATGATGTGGTGCATTTCCCTGCTGTGATTGATTTTTCTCAGGGGGGGTGCACAAAGTGATGTCACGACCATATTCAAAGAGGCCTTTTTATTCCAGAGCTTTAACGCCAGTAACTGCTGTACAAATGAATTGGTCACAAAGACGGTCAAAGAATAAGCCAGTTAAGGAACATTTGCATTTATATTTATGATTCGGCTCTGGTGTTCGTATGTGGAACCTTTTCATCTCAAGATAAATACTAAAATACCACCAGGTCCAGTGATAAGACTCCTTTTCTAACATGTTTGGGGGTTTTCTGCAAGAATCTTGTAGTTTGGATGCATTTCTAATATACCAGAGAAACTGTGTGTGTGTGTGTGTGCCGTCTCAGGTGGTTAGACTTTGTCCTGCGCTGAGCCTCTTACAAAGCCATCGTCCATGTATTAGCATCAATGTGCATGTGAATGTGTGTGTTACTATGGTTGTGTTAGATTAAAGGATTAATGTATGATGGCATCAGTGTTGTCTACCAGGAGATAGTGCATGTGTGTGTGTGTGTATGTGTGTGAGACATCACACCAACAGGAGCCTGCCATCACTTTAATTCACTGTTTAAACATCAAAATTCACCACAGCTGGATTGAGGCACAGATATACGATAAAAGAATACAAGCGTGTATGTACAATATAAAAGAGAGAGAGCACTAAATGCAATGAGAGAAACGCACAGGGTTACAATACAAAAGTCAAATATAGGAAACATGCATTTGAAAACAAATCACAAAGAGTTTACATATGGGCTTTTATAATAGACTGAAAGAGTCCTCCATACCTTCTGGAAACAAATATTGATATATACTAAATGTGCAACTGACCTATCAAGTTTAGCTTCACGTTAAACTTATACAAAAGCATAAGTAGTTCAACTGCAAGAGTATATCAAGGAAACAACAAAACATTCATTTTAACCATTTGAAATTCAATATATTGTCCCTCTCTTAACAGAATTTTAATTACAGTTAGATTACATTGTACAAAAGCTTTACAAAGCTCTATAATAATAATGAAATATTAAACTGAGACTGATACACAAGCAAAATAAACCCACTGATGGAACCCACTGACCTGTGACTTGAGGTTTTAAAAATGATTATTTATCGATGTAATGTAAAAACCATGAACACTCCTAATGGAGGGTAATACTTAAATTTGTGTGACTGTTAGGTTTGTTGGTGATTACGCGGCAAATTAGTGAATTTCAGTGCACATGGCTGCGTTCATGTGCACTGAAAGTGAAGATGAGGGAAATGGGACCAGTCACCTTATGGGAGACACTTGTTAGGTTCTTAGGCTGTGGACTTGGTTTGATGGCTGAATCAACGCATTAAAAACAGGTCTTTCATGATTTGTTATAATTTACAATACATGTGCAGGGAATGTATTCAATGACGTGAACAGGGGCGTCGCAACAGGGTGGGGAAAGAGGGCAAATGCCTGGGGAGAACCCCCTTTGATTCTATGATGGATTATGTACAGGAAACTGCAATGACACCATGATCAGAAACCCCCGGATGAGATCCCATTAGCTTCCTGCCAAAGGCTTTGTAATTTTAGAGTTTTGGATGAAGTCGAGAACGTGAGTTTGCACTTAATCAATACTACATTTGCTATTAGTTATGTGTGTGCACTTTGTTAATAATTAAGAAAATAATGATGTGTTTGGTGTCATATGTTTCTTGGGGGTGGGGGGGGTCAGCTTTGCTTTTACCTGTGGCCCCCAAAGTCCCTTGAAATGCTCCTGGATGTGAAACCAATGCATGGCTCATGGATTTGGACACATCTGCCAACTCGTGGTGACACACACCATGTTACTGTGACTATATATGTTGACATTTTTTGAATGATATTGGAATTAAAACCTGTCTGTGTTATCAAACCTGAGTCGCAGCTCTATCATTTCACAATCCAACTGACGGCTGGAGAACGTTTGGAAGAGAGGGAACTCCTGCTCGGTCTATTCATACCGGTTCAATGGTATGGTCCCATTCTTTGATAAGTGCAGTCACAAGACTCATCCACAGCACAGGGCTGCGAGTGTGTCGCTCGCTACAGTCCACGTGTGTCGCTCCCTGTACACTGTCACGCAAACAACATTTTATTCACCTAAATGAGTTTTATTTTTCTACATGAATGAATTATGAGGAACCAAACTGTTCAAATGTTTCCTCACAGTCTGGAATTGTACGGTTTGTATATGGTTGTATGTTGTTCCCTTCTTTCAGTTTGTTTGTGATTGGGCATGAATTTGTGCATTTGTACCAGATCATTGCAGTCCACTGGGTCAGCCGACAGGACAGCCGGGCAGTCTGAAGGCGTCCGGCACGGGACTATCGAGTTTACAGATGATTTTATAAATGCCTTTCTTCCAGCAGGGGTCGCTGTCTCTGCCAGTCCAAATGGCTGAGTAAAACTCCCTCAGAGCCACCTCGGACACCTCGATGAACCTCTCAGGGACCTGCACACAGGAATCTGGATGTCAAAGGGCAACATACATGTGCGTCTACAGATAAGGACTGGAAACGTATGCACACACTCTGAGATAGAAAAAAACTGTTCCAGTTATATTTTAGGAAAATGTGTCTCCTGTCAACTCCAATCTTTACTTGTAATATTA